TTTTTTTTTTTTTTTCATCTTTTCGTTAACGGTCAAAGGAACAGGGATCAGGCATAAGACCAGTCAGAGGCTGGAAAAATACGTTGAGCGATATTCTTGATGAACGTTGGATGGAGGAAAGCTTCTTCCTGTTCTTGTGTCATCGCATCTGTTGGATTTTGCAATGGATACGATGAAGCATCGCGATTGAATCCGATTAATAACGTGAAAAATATACCTACGTACGTTTACTTGACGGAAAGATATCTTATGAAAATATTTGAATCTTGGATTTCATCAAGAATTAAAATCAAAGATCGTTTGTACATTAATATATTTAGTTTCCTTGTTTATTATCGTTTGAAAGTTACGATTTTTGAGTCAGTTTTAAAAAAGATTCCACGCATCGGTACCATTTAATTTCTTTGTACCATTTAATTCCTTTTTACAGTTTTAAAGTTGTGATTAGACTGCAGATATTTGTGCAAATTCATATTTTTACGAATATCTTTGAAAGAATAGTTCCGGAATTATTAAATATTACAATAGATACTACATTTTATTTTTATATATATCTTTATATATAATATTTGTATGTTATTATTCTTTTATTATTATATGAATTTTGTGCAGTTTTGCATCTTTAAACTTCCTACAAATGCACAAAACTGTGTATCTATTTATCTATGTATTTATCTAGATACGTTTTTTAATTCTGTTGTTCTCTTCATTTCTTCATCACGTCTCTCTTGTTTCTTTTTTTGCAACATGTTATTTACAAAAAGCGTAAAAAGTCATGAAAGATATATACTGAATATTAAAATCAAACATTTAACATTTCAACTGTATTTACTCTAACTTTTCAACTGTATAACTGTAATACCTAATGTTAGATTATAATTTAATAATACCTATTATTATTGTAATCTAATCTAATTTTAATTCTTCGATCTTAACTTAATTTAATCTACCATCTATTTTAATGTTAAGGTCACTTATGATGTAGATATGTACCAAGCTAGAAATTAAATTAGGAATTTTTAGACATTTCTGTATTCGTCAAGTTTTTTTGTTTGAATAATCCCTCAAGTAATTTACAGGGGCCATTAGCCTCAGTAGTTCCGACTCTGAGGATTTTTTTCCGCACAATAGTAATTGCCATATCTTAAACACATGGGTACCAGAAGTGCCACGCAGGCAACGGAATGGTTTCCAGAAGATGATGGGTCCCATTTCCCAAACCTGCCAACCGAACCACCTTCATAAAGTGGTAACGAGAAATTCTAAAAACCTTTCCCTGGTTGGTCTTGACGTATTTCTTGCTCCACGACTTCTCAGAGTTCTATGGAAAGGGCAGATGAAGATTCTCTTATATAAGACTTTGAAATCAAAGTTTCGCGACTAATTCAGTAACTGAATAGCCAAGTTGGGTCGCTCAATCAATATTTGGCTAAGCGAACTCGGTCGTCGGTACAGAATTAGCTGTCTGAATCGAGTAGAAGGTACCAGATTTATCGTGTAATAAAGTCAATATTAATTCAAATCGGAGTTATTCGTTTCAGCAACACATGCTTGTGTTCTTAATGATATAATCTTTAATAATATTTGATAATATTTATATTTCAATAGATCGTATAGAAACAGAAGAGAACACAGCAGGGTAAAGCATAAAAAAAACAAATTCGAATTGACACCGAACGATGGTGTCCTGGGTACTAGAAGCCTCCAGTTTCTTATCTTCCATTATATATATCCCAAATTAGCGTCTCAACTATAAAACATAAACTTTAACACCTGACCGATAGTACGTAACGACACCATATTTCTTCCACCGACAATACCTAAACAACTATCGTTATCTTCCCTAATTTTGTAGCTCCTTTCTACAACGTCTAAAGAGGATCCCTTTTAAAATTTATCTCATCACTGAGATAGACACACCGTATCTTTGAACCTACCTACGCAACTACCTACAACATAAGCCGTTCACAAACGTGTTCTCACGACGAATTCGCTCGTTCACTGCAGACATGCAGGTGTTGAAGCCTAGAAGTTTCTTAGCGAGCTTCCGGTGATCGCGGAAAAAGTACGTTACAGCCGGAACACCGAACCCCGCCCTCTCAGTTTTCCTCGATCTCGATTCCAACGATCCGAATGCATCCCACACTCCTACACAACTTTCAACGGGCCTCACCGATTTTTACGCAATTCCATTGAGCGTCCCCTGCGGGGATCATATTGTTGCATCGATGCACCGAATCGAGAGCTTGGGTCTTTTCTCCTTCTACCTGACCCAAAGATAATCCCATCCTGGGAGCATGGGGGCATTATCCCGTGGAACCTGGTCTCCCCCCTCCCCTCCCCCCCCCATGGACTCGAAAATACCCTTACTATAGGGGTTTCACAGTGAACACTCACCCATCACGACCATCCGATGCGTCGTTGCCCGATTTCTCTCTTTTATCCGTCCTCTGTCGAGCATCATTGTCACGATACGGCGAATCTCGTTGCGGTGACGTTTGTCACCCCCTATTTTTCTCGCGACAACGGGGAACCAGGAGGGAAAAGATGGCGCGTTTCTCTTTGAATTTTCGGGAATGTAGGGTAGTCGGGTACGTGGAGACGTGGGGCACGAATAGCGCGCGACAGGCGGCTGTTTGGAATTAAAAATGAATGTACACAAGGACCAGGTAACGAATTTTCGAGCAACCTGAGAAAACAGTCTGGGCTAGAAAGGTTCAGGCCGGTACTTTCTATGTACATGCGTGGCTGATTAATACGCGGGCGAGATTCCGGATCAGTGACGTGGGCGAGTAGATCTTTGGTCCGCATGGGTCTTTCCATGTTTGGTCTCGATCGTTCCCTTCCGCTCGTGATATCTCGAGAATTGAGGAGAGTGAAGGGTAGAGCTCTGTGCATGTTGTCAATCTTCATTAATTAAAGCGAGGTCAAGATTGGGCCCGGGTTTCGTTCCTGTAGACTTTAGAATCTAATCTAACAATAAGATCTGGCCCGGTTCTCTCCTGCTAGTTTCAGTCTGTTTTGTTTCTTTTCTTTTTCATATTTATCGGACCTGTTACAGAACAACGATAACCAAGAAGTATTTACTTGTTACGTCATTAAGATATAGAGCGATTCTCAGCCTAGTTCGCTCAAAATAAATACTGTATATACGAGATATGACGTGATTTATCGTTAAAAATCAACATCGTCCTCGTGCAAACACTGCACTAATAAAAAGTTTGAGATATCCGTAGAGTATTTTGCAAGATTGCGTATTGTTTGGTTTAGTAAAAATAAAGTCTCGAAAGATTGGCCCCGAACAATAGAGATTTTAATTATTCATCGATCACTTGTAACATGAGATTTCTACAATTTAATCGATGAAGTGAAATGAAATGAAAGCATCTTAGCACAAAATTTTATGTGAGCTGACAATACACACATTCTTACTTGACCGTGCGCAGTGGAAATCATCACTTTTGCTTAAATCAGACATTACTTATACGTCTTTGCGAAGAAAGAGATAGAATTTAAAGAAAATGCCGAGTTCAAAATACTACAAGGAGAGTTCTTGGCCAATTATGAAATAATTCATAATTTAGCCGGTGAAAAAGGTCCAAATCCATGTGACATTGAGCTGTATTTTATAAACATCTCTTATATATTATGAATTTTGTCTTGATTGTCATTGTGAATAAATTAGTGATAAAACAGTACGTTAATTGAATAAACATATAGTATCTGAACTTTTACTCAAAATCAGTTTTTTTTTCGCTTGTCCTGAGAAACGTAGCTTTTTCAAGGTCATGTCACTTCAAGGATACGATATGTATAAGATGAAAATGAAAGTGTATTTTTGAGTTATTCTTAAAAAAAGATCATATCGTGAAAGTGGCTGTATCGAGTCGTCGACAAAACGAAATTCATAAAATCGACTGTCAATTTGATTGACAGTCGTCGAATAAGGGACATTTGTTGGTGGTTGATCAAGTTCCGAGAATTTACTGGTCTCTCACCAGCGATCGGTGAAAGAAGGTACATATTACAATTTGCACGTCTCCGAATTTTGCGAGTTCCGTAAACATTTTACGATTGTCTTTTGGATCTTCCTCACGTCCTTAGGAGTTTCGTAGTTTAGGAAACTAGTTTGAAACATTTTTCGAATGTTTGCTGTTTCGTAGAACCTCCGGGAGATCCGATATCGCGATAAACTCATGGATTATTTTCAGTATGTTGAATGACAGCTATGAAATCTTTGATCGAAACTCGAGCTG